CAACTACATCATGTAATTTGGTCGTATTTCATTTTCTCCATCCATCTAAGTCCGTGCCTCAGGGCCTCGTCCCTGAGCACTGCAGAAAGCCACTGCAGCTCTTTGTAATGAAACTGCCGTTCTCCTATCACGACTGTCAGAGGGAAACCCACTCCATGAAGGCAACTTGTAGCGAAGCTCTCAGAAGTGGAAGACCTAAGTGCTCACAGGCTAGACCATGTGTGTGTGCATTTAAAATCTGCGCTGAGATGCTGCCTGTAAAAGTTTGAGGCTTTTAAAATATCTGTAATCTGAGTAGCTTTATCTGTAAAAATCAATAAAGGTCGAGAGGTTTTTTCATTGACCCCCCCCCAGATCAGTCTGTTTATAAAACAGAGACTGATCCAGGATTAATACCCTATAAGAAAATAAACACAAACTACTGGTTGTTACATTATTTAATTAATCTGAAGGTTTTTTGCTCCACTGGCTCAAACCCATTTCCCTAACCCCACCTCTCCTATGGCCAATATGAGGACAAATCTTACACTTGTAGAGAGCTAACAGTGGAAACATCTTCATTTCTGGGGAAAAATACTTTGAATAATATGAAAATAGCATTAAGGCTCCTCAGTTGAACATGTGTGACTACACTGACATTCACATGAATCATTCCCCTGTGATGCAGCCTGCGCTTGTTGTATCAAAAATCTTCTATTATAACAAATTAGTCATATTTCTCCCAGGTTCTAATTTTTCCACAAACTCCTTCATTGTGTTCACAAATGTCCCGGATATCACAAGCAGCCAGACTAGCTCTCTTTAGGAGGTGATGCTAGACAGATACCTGACAGCTGACAACATGAGTCATGATGAGGAGATAATCCTTTGTGACCAGCTGGCAAGTGCTCTGTGCTTGGACTCCTCTGTGTAGTTTTATCTTCAGTGGTTTATTTTGTGTGTCCTTATTTTTTCTGGATGGTTAATGCATATACTATTCAGCATCCCACAAGTGGGATTTCTTTAGAAGAGCTAAGATCTTCTTACCATAATAAGACCAGTGAAAAATATATATTTGAGAGAGTCAGTGAAGTTATCATTAAAATAATACTTCATAAGTTTAGCATTGTACTCATATAACATTGTCAGACATGTGATGGACAGTAAAAATAAAGACATAATGGAACCAGAGATATCGCCTTGGCTATCCTATTCTTTTTCCTTGTCAAAACCTGGTGCCTACATTACCCACAATGCAACTCAATACCCAGAGTTCAGTTGGAAATTTGAGTATGTTATGCTAATAGAGGCTAAGGTAACTTTGGAGAGGAGAGATAAGGTGCAGGCTACAGAAGTCTGGTGAACTCGCTTCTTTATAACTCCACACGCTAGATTTTTTTTTTTTTTTTTGGTCTTCAGATCCAACTAACGCTGACTCAAGTGACATCACTTGAGTGTAACGTTTCCCCCAAAACCCATAAACACAAATGTAAATAATTTGTTATGTAAATTTTTGGAATTCCCCTTTAAATTTGCAGGCCTTTATGATTTTAGTGTCTTCCCTGTTCTACTACAGGGTACTGGATGTCATATCCTGTAGCCACAGGATGATTTCATTTTGTTTTCTTTGTCTTTACTTTTGAGTCTAACATTTTGTCTTTATAATTTACACAGGCTTCTTAAATCTACATTTAAATACTTTGGGAATATGTATAATTCATGTGTTTTAACAATTGCAGTGGGTGTCTTGAAAAGAACATGTTGAGCACAGAGCGGACAGTGACTTGTGATACCAGCATTCATCAATAATGCATGAATATGGGAGACTGAGATAAGACAGGCTACAGTCTGAACATGACATTTAACCACGATGACGTATTTAACACTGACTCAGGAGACACACAGATTCTCCTGTGAGCTGGGGTGGCTGTGGCTCATGAGGTAGGGCAGTCGTCTCCTGACCAGCAAGTGGGTGGTGCGACTCCTGGTCTCTGAGCAAGACACTGAACCCCGAATTGCTCCCGGTGGCTTGACTAGCGCCGGTGCATGGCAGCCTGTTGTGAATGGTGTATGATCTTCTGTAAAGCGCTTTGGCCAGTGTAGCACACTGTGAGAAAGCGCTATATAAAATAAAGTCCATTTATTATAGGCTTTTAAACATTCTTTTTTACCCTTAAAATTATAAAATGAAAACTGTTAGTTCTTCCTGCTCTGTGCCATATGTGTGCTCATCATCACACAGATTTACATCTCTACATCCTCCGAGGTTATGTCTTATTGTAATGAACATTATTCCTTTGATTTCACATCTGTGCCTTCCTTAAGTCTCCACTGGGATATTTCACAGTAGCACACACAGAACAAGCTGTCTTCATGCCAACTTCAGGCTCCAAATCTGCAGCCGGCGGTGCAATACTCAGCCAGCGCCTGTCCAGTCTCTAGAGAGCCAACCACAGAGACTGACAGTTCTTTCTTCTCTTGCCTCCCAGTCTTTTTTTCAGCTTGTCTTCGGGTTGTCTTAGCCCCACAGGGTTTAAGGCAGGCTTTTAATTGAGGCTGAAGAGGCTGTGTCTGGTTGACTAAGCAACACTGGCTGCTGTGCTGTGATGAGCTGCACCAGCTCTGACACATACATATATTTCTTCTTGAGTGTCACCACTGAGAAACTGCAGGGTTAGTCAGGGTTGCCCTGCTGCTCAGTCAGATATAAATAGCTGCTCCTGTAATGATTATAAATCTCAAATGATTAATGGAGTTGATTCCTAAAAGTCACAGCTCCTCTTCCCACTCTCTTGATCTATGTTGCATAAGTATGGGCCACCCCAGCTAAATTTAAATCTAATCTGCTAAGGTAATAGCTGCTCATGAAACTTCTTATTTAAGAGGCCATTTTCTCTATATATTCTTCTTCCTCACCTAGAGAAAGTATAATCCCTGCACCATCTAGTGGCCATTACCTTTACTGTACATGTCAGCCTGGGGTAATGTCATGCTTATTATAGAAACACATGATGTAGTCCCAACTAAATCAAGCTCACAGCAGCATAATAATACTTTTGGTGACTGTCCCATGCAGCCAAACTCAAAATTATAGGGATTTATTGAACCTGCACTTACTGTATATATTTCATTTCCATGAAAGAAAACTCATAGCTGTAGCAGTAGGAAAAACACATTATTCAGGGATGTAATTGACAGAGGGCTCATTAAAATATGATGTAATTTAAAGGTGTGTCCCCCTTTCAGCAAGCACAGCAATTAATTTAATCATTTATTAGCACAGAATGAGAACTGTATGAGCTCTCTCCTGCCTCTATTATCAAATAAGATTTAAAATGTGCAAGGAAGCAAGAAACGCCAGATATCCAGAGTCAAACCCGTTCAGTCCAAGAACAGCAAATTACTCAAATAAATGAATCTGTATTATCAGATGATATAAACATACTCAGTCACTGTATATCAATTAATATTGTTTTTTTGCTTGACCAGTGTTGTTTGTATAAATAAGCTGTAAATCCTAAACTGGGGTCTGGAGTCTGACCCAGCCTCTCCTCATGAAATCAACTGCTGATTTCTCATAAACCAGCCACTCTGCATAAGCCGTCACTGCACGCAGCAAAGGCCTGGCTGCTCAGTGAACAAACAAGTTGCCAGTTAATCCTGACCAGCTGTAGCTTATGTGTCAGACTTAACTGTTTTTTATGGTCTGGATCCAAGAGGAGACTCTTATTAAAGGATGAGCTCTCGACAGGGATGCACCCACACCTGCACTCTCCCTGGAGAGGTTTACCAGGTACAGTACTGCAGCTGCTCAGCATCGGGTATTATGATTAACCTCATTGTGTCAGATGACGAGGTTGTTAGGGTCCGTGAGCTTCTTTCAGCTTGTGAGCAGATTTTGTTGTCAAACTGGTTAACCTCAATCTGTCATCTCTACTGGAGATTTTGATTTATGGAGTATAAGGTGCTTTCAGTGTCTCTCGGTGGGTCAGCCTGACTATCATCACAGGAAGCATTGTTTGAAGGGCATTGTGGTTAAAATTATGTTGCACAGGCAAACAAGTGCCCACATTGTTATCATGTGGGTACAAGTACCAGGGAGCTGGATTTAATGGATGCAACATTTAGTGAAAATCTGATATGAGGTTGTGGCTTAAACAGTTGCCTGCTGGATGGAACTCGATGCATAAATGTTTCGCTGTTTATGGTGAAATATTGTAAAGAATAAACATTTTTGCAGCGGTGGAAGACGTACTCCAAAGTACTCACTCGTAACAGTATAAAAAACTCATTTACAATTGTAGAAGTACAATCAACAAAATGTTACTACAAGTGCAGAAAAAAACCTCCTGTGAGTATTTAATTATTTTATATTATATTTTTTCATTACTATTATGGTTGCATTCAAGTGTGAATAGCATTTAACGTAGTTGGCAGAGGTGAAGCTAATTTGAACTACTTCATATATAATAATTTCATCTCTAGCAATGCATCATATTTTAATATACTGTTTATATATCTTGTGTGTGAAATCTGAAAATATAGGATTGTAGTTATCAAGTAAATACAGTGGAGTAATATACATAGTTACATTACATCACAGGATATTTGTTTATTTTAAAGCTGAAAAGGCTGAGAGACTGAAAACATAAAAGTTAGATTTGAAAAATTCAAAATGGGAGAACTTCAAATTTGCCCTTTGGTTCCTATGCCAACAAATCCTTCTGACACAAGGTCGAACTGTCATTTAGGATTTCAGTGTTTTGTTTTTTTTTGGGAAGGATCACTGTATTTACCACCAAGACCTTTGTTCAGTTTGGCTACTGGCAGTGAATACAACAACTGTTTCATGAAAGACTTTGTCTCAACCCTCTTTATTTTGCTACTTCTTGATATCTTAGTGCTATAGTGGTAAAACATCACTAATATACAGGGTCCTGATGTCATTGTCCCTTATGAGGATGAATAACTTGCGATTTGTGTCACAAACCTTGAACTT